TGGCATCATAGACACAATAGGCATATGTCCTGGAAAAAAGCCTATTGCTACCAAATGGTACATGCCCTTGGGATACCCAGCAAAGAAGGAAAAAACGAGAAAGGAAGATTTTAGGCTTTGTCTGGATGCACTGCACATAAAATATTTTTTTGTTAGACAGTTTGTCATTTTAAATAAGAAATTTACCTAATCAATCGAATCTTGAATCTACCTAACCAAAGGTTCATATTGACAGTCTTAATATTACAATTTGTCAATCTGTCAAGCAAGCCAACATTTCTTTATGTATTTGTATATTTCCTATTATACTTGGATGGTAGTGGTACTATGTTTTGGGTCATTGTTTTAATCAGAAATTATTATTTTTTGGTTTTGGTACAATGGATGCTAGAAATCCAAAAAAGAAAGAGACTAAATGATTAAATTTACTTATACTAATTTAATCTGGATGATAATTTTCTCACTCTCCTTTTGTCCGCTTATACTCCTTTTTCTTTTTTAATATTTTTGACTATTACATAAAAGAGAGTGTGAGTGGACGTACAAAAGAGACATGAGAAACATATAATTTTCAACAAAAGTAGTGTAAGTGGACAAAAGAGAAGTGGGGAAATTAGCTCCCTTTAATTTACTCAAAATACCGTAGTGTAAAACAATGTTTATGTGTTCACATAAGAAATAAATCCACAAACAAAGGACTAGCATATACTTCATTAATCAATTTCATTTATAATACAACAAATTATACTTGACAATGAAACAACCTGAAATTTATACAAAAATAAAGTCATTTTGTCATGTCAACCACTTCAAAATTTTCTTCTTTTTTAAAGTTGTAGGTAATTAAAAAAAACTTCTACTTGAAGAATTAATGGATCTTAACTAAGTAAATAATTCAAATTCAAGTAAAGTAAACGAGTCGAAACATAAACCAAAACAAAAGCCCTCCATAATATTATTAATCATGTGTCTCTTTAACAAACACCAAACTGAGTTCATTAATTTAAGCAAGAAACATAAAGAAAATTAAAATCCCATGCACAAAAACATGGATATGTGTCCGGAAAATTCCAACAAAATACTACTAATATAACCAAGCTAGCTGGAGGACTTCTATATGAAATTTCACATGAACCTGAAGGAGGGCCCAGCTGGGTCTTGCAGATCAGCATCATCATCACCATCATTATTGATCATGTTAAGCGGATTCATGGCCATGTGATCATCCATGTCCATACCCAAATGATTCAGTTCAAAAGGGTCGATTAATGTGCCCATATTAGGCAGGTCCAAATCATTCATCTCCACAAACGACTGTCCTGGCCAGCCATATTGGTTCAGATCATCAGCAGGTTGGTTCAGCATCAGGGTGTCAACCAGGCCAGCCGGCCCGATGAATTGATCAGCAAGTCCAAGCCCAAAGCCAGGCTGGTCCAGACCCAAATTGACCATTTGATGATCTGGTGGAGGGTTGAAGGCCTCAGCTGCTCCTTGTTGTAGAAGAGCTTGATGGAGCTGCCTCAGAGAGTCTCTCTCCTTTACCAGTGCCTCATGCTGAGCTGCATATACCCAAATATTTAAGTTTAACCCTTTGTTATGTTCATTCATGTATGTATCAAGAAAATTTTGAAATAATATGCCGATGTTTTTATTTCACAAATGATCAATTGAGATGATACAAATAACAAAAACGGTGTTTAGATTTAGATAGAGAGAGAGTGAGAGGAGAAACCTTGTTTGAACTTAAGTTCGTCAGTATATGCAGAAAGCTTTTGTCTCATTGCATGGTTTTCCGCCCTCAGCAACTTATTACGATGACCCGCATATTTGACTCTCGGAGTGTTGACAGCTATTTCAGTCTGCACACATGATGTATATATAAAATCCCACATATCCATGTAGCAAACTCCTTTTTTTGTGTGTGTGCAAAGGATCAACACTTACATGCATATATAAATTAAGTGGAACGAACAACGGAACAACAAATATAATTAAGGAGAATTTATACGTGGGGACGAGATGCAAGTTACCTGGAGTACTTTCACTTCGTTTTCGAGTTTCGTAACATATGCAGCCTGCTTGACCCGATACCTGAGTGAATACTCTCTGCTAGCCAAAACCCTAGAGAAAACAGATCAAACATTTTTAAAAATTATTAGATCTAGAAAAAACGGAAGGAAAATGTATGTTTCTTGAGCGGATCTTTATAGTATAATTAGATTCTTCATGTTCTAAATTTTATGGAATGTCAAAGCCTATCTTGTACCTAAGTACAAGATATTGGGCCTCTCCACCTATTACCAATTAATTTCGGGTTGGATCTTATAATTTTAACAAAAAGGTCAAAATTCAAATTTCCAACCACGGTTTTAATTTCTTAAATATTTAGGGAAAGGAGATCTATGGTAAGAAGGCTAGATAATAAACTTTTTCTGCTGCTTGGCGTCCATCTCTTCAAGGTCCTCATCCTCTAGATCAACAACCTGGATCTCAGAGTTGGGCTCATGAGTAGTTTCTGGTGCTAGTGCAAGTCCTTTGGCTTTGTCAGCTGCGTTACCACTGATATCATAGGATGGTGGTGCCAATGGGATAATGGGAGAGTTGGCGCTTGAGCTCTGCCACCCTAGATGAGAGGGTGGCAGAGGTGGCAGTGGGGGAAGCTGGGAGTTTGTGTTCTTGTTGAAGCTCTCCATTTGTATGTTTGTAACCTGAAAAAGCCAAGCAGTCAAACAGATGTTAGCCAAAATGACATCAATTATAACCTAGAAAACCAAAGCCTAGAATGTTACTCATACGATACTAACATCACAAAAGAAAAATGATTAGAGCAAGTGAGTATTAGGGTTCTCTATATGTCCCCTTTTATAGATACTAAACAAAGAGAAATAACAAGAGAATCTTGGATAGGAACAAGCTATAGTTTCTCTAGTTTGTCTTGTTTTTACTTTCCTTTTAATCAAAACTACCATTTTTATCTCTCTTGGCTCCATATAATTATATTTCTTAATCCTTATATTGAAGTAACATGGGATCGTATAAGCTGAAATAAAATCAAAATTATAGTGACTTTTGAAACACGTACGATCGTAAGTAAACAACAGAAATTTGGCAACTAGTTTTGTCAAAATGAACTATTTGTTTTAACTGAATAGTTTTGACAATTAATTCTAATCCGGATCAATTGATTCGTTTTTTTACTGTACTAATTATTGATGCGTGTCCGTTCTTTATTAAAGAACAAACGTCCTACACAGAAAATCTCTTACTAGGGCTACATCTTTATCGTATATATATGTTTTCTAATATAATATCTACACATGGTATATGACACACTACAAATACTAATGAAGTATTTGGTTCAAATACATTTTTCTCAATGGTTTAGTATTTGTCACAATTGGACTAGTAAGGTGAGCATTAAGGTGATGCCCCATAGACTGCTAGAGTTTCCAATCACAAGGGCATAGAAAATTAAATGTTAAACTACGGGGATAAAATGAGAGTGTGTATAATGACGCCCCCAAGAACATGTCTAGAAATACAAATCTAGTTCTAAAAGCATTTGTAAATTTGTGTTTAGTATCAAATATTTTAATTACAGGGTAGAAATTTTTGTGTTCTCAATAACTATGATTACCTTGTAAAAAATTATATACTTAATTCAATTACCTTGTAAAAATTATATACAACGGGCGCATACAATAATTTCTCTACATACATGCAAAGTATAAGTTCGTGCAGAGTATCGGTTCATGAGCCATGTGGAATAGTTCACACTTACTATGTACATTAGATTCATGAATAATTTCAATATTCTTGTGCCGCCAGACAAATGCTTATATTTTCATTTTGCCAGTTTGTACCACACACATTTTTGCATTAACTAATATGATCAATGATCCAAATTCACAATAGACAGTCTGGCAACGTAAAATACTTATATATTGTCATACTGTGAATTTAGACCATTGTTTATATCAATACTTTTTGAATATTTGATCCATATTCAATATCTAGCAAGATGAACATTACCAGACTGTCTATCAAAAGGGCATTACCTTAGATAGAAAACACTAGCTACATTGTTTTATGTCTTCCCCCTTCTCCTTCTTATTATGCAATTTGTATGATAATCGAAATTGTTCATTTTTAAGGTCATTCCTGAAAAAGATCAGTCGAAATGAAAATCATTTTTGACATTTGATTAATAGTATAATTCATTGTCTCATCCAAACACTAGGGTTCATCTATTTATCCGAAAACAGTTCGATGGCTAAATTATTTTTTATTTGTTTAATGTTTTGTATAGAAGATCTTTAACGGTGACCTAGAAGATAGACAATTTTGATCATCAAACCACATTATAGGATAAAAACGGAATACAAAAATGTATAAAGGACAAAGTAGATAGCATTCTCTTACCCTAGATATATATATAAGTATTTTGAATTTTTTTTTTAAAGACATATATAAGTAAAGTACTTAATATATTCCATGAAAAAAGAAATCACCTCTCGACATGTTGCTAAGAATTAGAGCATCCAATCCACAATCAAATAGTTGTTCCTTATGTGGGTAGCTTGTGTGCAGGGGTGGATCCACGTTTGGGCTATAGTGGGTTCTAGCCCAATATTGACTTTGGAGAGATATAAATTGCGCTTAGTTGTATAAGCTTAATTCAGGAAAATTAAATAATAGTCAGTCCATCTCGAGAGAAATTATAGAATGATACAGTAATACCACATCAACGTTACATAATACTCCCATCCAAATACAGCTACATATCAAATACAACCACATCAACGTATAGTACTCCCATTCAAATGGATAACTTTACCGAAGGTGGAAATGACTAATTTTACACAGTATGACGGTTTTACACTAATTTTACACAGTACTAGTGGAATTTACACAAAAACAAAAAACAAAAAACAAATATTATTATTATTATTTTTTTAAAGTGCAAATAAGGGAAGGGTAAGTTGGTTCAGAGCATTTTTTTCTTTTTGGACAAAGGTTCAGAGCATTTGATTGGAGCAAAAATGCACTCTTGCCTCGCCTTAGATCCAATAGGCACAGGCACACCATGTTCGTTTCCGTGCCATGTAGGACACCTACCACGACCGTCTTCTACCTTTGGACTTGGTTTTCTTCTTCTCACTCCCAAATCAATCTCAGACATTACCTCCTACTCTCTTCTCGATGGCACACTCAGATATCCACTAACAACAACCACCATCAAGCATCGGATTCGTCGCCGCCAAGTCACGTCAGCTCCCGCCACTATGCTTCCTCAAAACCCGCAAAACCCGGTCGTCGCTGATATTTGCGCTACCTTCATTGCCGGTGGTGTTGCTCTGTTCTTCCTTCTGTTGTGGGAAGAGACCGCCAAACGTGGGGTCTTCGACCAGGTCAAAATCCCATCTTTCTCTTCTCTTTTGGGTACCCAGTATAACGCGTATTTGTACGTATTTGTATACGTTTTCTGTTTCGATATACAATTTTTCGTCTAATCTTTGGTGGGTTGTGTTGGGTTCTGATTGATTTGTGGGAAAGCACTGATTTTGTTGATAATTAAGAACCATAGCTAAAAGATTTTACAAAATTGGTTAAAAATTGCAACTGTAAACCTCGCCTCAATTAGTGTACTGACAACTTCCAAAGGAGACTATTTATGCTTAAGTATACTGGAAATATAATTGGTTGTACCACTAAAGCTGCTGCTGTTGTGAAGAATGGGGAGCAAAAGCATGCCACATGTAGCAGGATTGAATGTTGTTTCTTTTTTGTTAGAAGGGGCTGCTAGTATTTTCCTCTGCAAGTAATAGCTGAAGAGTGAGCTTGTATGAACTTAACCAGTGAGTGTTTGGTGGTTCACTGTCTGTGTGCCTGTAGTAGTCATCCCTGCTGAAAGTGCTTTCAGATTATATATCTTTTCCCATGTTTTGATAGCTGATTTTAGCGGGTTTGCTAGATTGTCTGTCTGCTAGGGAACTTAAGCTACAGCAAGGGGATCCACTGTCATTAGGTCTCATTAAATCTCAAACAAGGGAGTGATCAATTGAGATGGAGTGTGATAGATTGTTTTACAATCGAGGAGTTGTATTAGTATTTACTGTTTTGTCGTATGCAACATCTCATCCCTCTAATTCTTAGCCTAAATAGGGACATGCTTGCTCTTGTAAATTTATTGCTTTTAGACTTTTGCATGCCTTTTGCCTTCTCAACATGTAGGAGAAGGGAAATCTGATCCTATCACGGGTTCTGCTTCAATTTCTATATTGTGACAGATAGATTCTCCTTCTTAGCATAACTTACTGTCCTAAAAGCCTGTGCATCTAAGAGTACGTTATCTTTTCTTTTGTAGAAACTCAACAGAAAGTGTGTGCATGTAAGCATTGGCCTAGTTTTCATGCTTTGCTGGCCTCTATTCAGGTAATCGCATGACTAAATAAGTCGTTTTAATAACTTTACCATGCATCTGACTGATAATAGGTACTATGTATAATTACAGTTCTGGCCTTCGAGGAGCATTTTTAGCATCTCTTACTCCAGGCATCAATATTTTCCGTATGCTTCTATTGGGACTCGGTATATGGAAAGATGAAGCAACAGTGAAATCAATAAGCAGATATGGAGACTACAGGTAATGATTTTGAAAGACTTTTCTGCTATAAACATTCCCGAATAATCTCTCATTAGTTTTTCAAATCTGTTTGTCACTTTTCTCGGGATTGTAAAGAGATAGATGATGAGTCTACAAACTTCTCAAAGTGAAAACCGATCAAACTAATGTAAGACTACCTCCTCTAGATAAGAACTTTCTTTTGCTGCATTTCAATCTCCTTTACAATCTTCACAACTGGATCCCAAAAATTAACGCTGGAGATTACCACATGATGGAAGACCCAATTATCTCATTACCCAACTCCCCAACACATAACCCCATCTAGATCCTTCCAAAAGGAAACTACTTCCTCTCATTGGTCAGCAGAGGAATAGGTTATGGTTATTTACCAATTTGTTGGCCCTTGAAATTTTGATGCCTGCTAGTGGGAACCAAATTTCTAGAAGTAAGCCATGTATGAGCGAAGACTACAAACAATGTTTGCTTTATGCTTATTTCAATTTGTTGATTACCTAATAAGTTTCATACATGATTTCTTATTTTCCCTTTACTTCATGCATCAGGGAACTTCTTAAGGGGCCACTGTACTATGCCACGACAATAACTTTGGCTTGTATAATCTATTGGAGAACTTCCCCCATTGCAATTGCTCTTATATGCAATCTGTGTGCTGGAGATGGTACATCTAACTGATTCAGTTTGTCCATTCTGTTGTCTTGATTTAGGTTGACTTTTAGCTTTTCTAGTAAAACACTTGATTTCATGGTTAAGCTGCTCAGGACTTATATCAAACTTCTATTGAAGGATTATAATTGATTTTACTTACTTCCTTCAGGTTTAGCAGACATTGTTGGTAGGCGGTTTGGTACTCGGAAAATTCCATACAACAGAAACAAATCCGTAGTTGGTAGTGTTGCAATGGCATCTGCTGGTTTTTTAACATCTATCGGGTAACTTTGCTTGCTTATTTTGTTGCTGTTTTAGAACTGGATTGAACCTTAGAATCTATCATGTTTCTTACTGGTTGGCAATGTTGACAGGTATATGCACTATTTCTCCAGATTTGGATTTGTTCAGGAGAGTTGGGGTATGGTTTTGGGTTTCTTGGTTGTGTCTCTTGCCTCAGCACTGGTAGAATCACTCCCGATAAGCACTAACCTTGATGACAACCTAACAGTTCCACTTGCTTCTATATTAGTCGGCAGTTTGGTTTTCTGATTTGGGTAATCCTTGTAAATAGTGGCGAAAGAATCAACTGCATTTGGCCAACTTGATTGGGTGTTGTAATATGTGTACTATAGTATTGTTTCTTAGCTTGACGATCTGTAACGGATAATATCGTACCCATAAATGATGTAACCTTGATGCTCTTTTGTGAAAATTCATCACAATGCAGGTGACTTACCAGCCCCGCATGAATATGACAACTGTGTTTCTTCTTGTAATTGGAGGCATTCCGCGTGCATCAATGCACGTGTTTTATGTTTATTTACAGTCTTTACCCACAATTAACCAAGTGAAAATGTTTGCTACACATCTTCTATGATTTTAGCATGTTTTGAGTCCCAGAAAACACTCAAATCATAGATAGCAGGAGCACAAAAGACTGAAGTAAGGGCTGTATTTTCAGTCCTAGTGACGAAACGACATGCAGGATAATGGTAACAAATTTGCTCACCAGATTTAAGACCAAGAGGTAGCATTATCACTTCACCTAATCCATGCCAGGTGTTACATAAATTATCTATGATTATCATTTGGTAACAGTTATAACCACATACATTAATTATGATTATAGGGGCATCAGGACTACTGACGAACTGTTTTGGTTTAGGTCGGTTTACAAAAGCCCAAAACGCAATTAAAGAAATCATTATCGTCCAGTTTTGAACTGTTTGAATTTATATTTGCGTGTGTGTGTGTTTAAAACCAATCCAAACCAACCACTACAGTTTGAATCGGCCGGATCCACGCCCACTCCTAGTTTGAGCCAAGAGGCATCAAAGATGCTCGTCTCCTACCTTGTCTCCTACGAACTTGGAATATCCGCCGCTTGGTCGTTCAAATGATTAATTAGATCAGCCTACCAGCTCAAAGCTTCCAATCCTACTCATTTCATTGCTTCCTTAATGGGAGAGTGATAGCTTCTGATTTCCCAAACAAATCAATCATCCAAACTAACGGTTCAAAATAAAAGAGACAACTAACTGAAGTAGCAAATATACAAGAAAAAAATGAAGGAACATAGAAGATATTAGGTGTGTGATTGAGAATTCAAACATTATAAAAACACAAGATAAGGGACATTTAACGGTGACAAAGACATCATGGAAGGCTCATCACAGCCACAGCCCAGATTACATGTTAGCCAAACAAGGCCAAAACAGAATTGCTCTGCACTTACCAAGTCCCCCACGCAAATCTCTCTAAAAACAAAATCACTTGTTATGAACTAGAAGACGTCAATGGCAACTCTGCTGCACCATTTTCCTGTGCACCAACATCATCTGTCCTCTTTTTCTTCAACCACAGTGAGAAACAATTGAATGGCTTCTCAACAACAGCAGAGTCTTCTTCATCAACTGAATTCAATCGCGGTTGAGGACTCTTAGCTCGCTTGAGACATGGAAGCACAGCAAGGCAGAGAATGAAAGCAGCAAAGAGAACAACCACAACCACCATCATGACCTCCCCATGCAAGGCAAAGTGCCTATCACTCAAGAAGGGAATCCCATCTCGGTCTTGGTCTTGGTTGGGAGCCATGGCAGGTGACATGGTAAGCAATTTGTGAAGTGCCCATGTTGCTGTTGATGTCGGTTTCTTCATCATCTCTAGATTTCTAATCTCTTACTTGCTAAGGTATTGTGATTTTCCAAGTGGGGGTTTTTTTGGGTTTTGCCAGTAAAAAAGTGTGAAATGTTTGACTCTCGTATAGATGTGTCTCATTGCCATTTATGGAAAGTGACACTTAGCGCCAGTTTGTCATTGTTGTGCTATGAAAATAATCATTGTTAAATTTGCTGTGAGAGAAAGGAGTTTGGCATTTGGTAAACTTTTCGTTAAAAGTGTTGTTAGTATTGATTCTTGCATAGTCAGAAAATGATTCCTACATAACCATTATATCTTCGAAACTGATTCCTGCGTAATCAGAAAATAAAAGCAGGTACTGCTTTCCCTTATAACTTTCTCTCACATCAATTTTTAATAATAAATAATTTTCTCATAATTTACTAAATGGACTGAGCTTTCCAAATTTTTTAGAAAATCACTTTATCACCCTAAATAAGCAATATCAAATCGACATTTATTATCCTGGGTTTTTCTGAGCCGAAATAAGGTTAGGGAAGGGTAATGGGTTAGTGGGCCCATCACCTTGGCTTTTGTTATTCCAATTTTGGTCTTTTCAGAGAGGGGTAATGGGTTAGTGGGCCCATCACCTTGGCTTTTGTTATTCCAATTTTGGCATTTTCAGGGAGGGGTAATGGGTTAGTGGGCCCATCACCTTAGCCCAAATTTGAAAGGCTGATAGGGAATTCTGACTCCAGAGTCGGGGGGCCATGCTTGCTGTATTACTTGTCTATCGTATTCGTTCCGTGTTGGCTTCATCAATCGCATGTGTACAACGATAAATTTTTTGGTGTGGTCGTTACGATTCAACGTGCTGTCTGAGTTCACATATAAATAATGTCTTGTTGACGGGTCTGAGTCATTCTATTGGTGTGGACGTTACATTTCGACGTGCTGTCGAAGTTCACATATAAATAATGTCTTGTTAACGGGTCTGAGTCATTCTATAGTAAGGGTTTTAGATAAGACCCTTAGATGAGGTCATATATCTTAATTATTAGATAAAAATTAACTAATTTGATTCAATGATTAATCAATTTGGATCGACAGTTATAAGATAGGGCCTTAAGGCCCTCACTGTATAATTCTTGAACCGGGTCTAACTCAGTGAAAAATTGTCTTGACTTGAAAACCATAGGTCTTAGGTGCAAACCTCATGACATCTTGGTTGTGTATACGTGTGAGAAACTCTCCCTCCCATGTGGTTTAGATTATCGTTTGTATTAAAAAAAAAATGTATTTTATTAATTAATATTATAGCTTAAAATATAAACTAGTTGTTCATTCATAGTTGAGATTTTTATTTTTATTTTTTAATTTTATTTTGCTGTTAAAGGCTTTACTGACACGATAGTTGTTAGACCTCCCAAAAGAGATGCTTTCATATCGAGAAAGACTTTCATGAAACGGGGATAACATTATTTTATTATACCTAACCAATAACACTATGACACACATGATAACACTTCTACATGATATAGCATTATTGGTTGAAAATAGCAAAACCAGTATTATCCCCGTTGCAAATAAGTTTTTCTCCTTCACATCCCTTATTTTTGGTGTTAAAAGTCACTAGGCTCAAAACAACCTAGAGAAGGTATAGATCTTAGGGAATGTTGTGTCTTTAATGTCTCCTTGAGCTAACAATGGAAAAGATGTTCAATAAATGAGTTAAGTTGGAAAATAGTGGCATGAGAGTGATGAACTGTCAACTGTGGTAGCTAGAGACCCACAAGTTTAGCAAATAAGAATACATGTGTTTTTCTTGATGTTGGCTATGCTTGGTTTTATGAACGTTTGTAAGCGATTTTGATGGTGGGTGATGGCCATCCCATGGTGATTGGAGGGTTTCAAAGTGTAGGAAGAGTGGAAAGCTTGAGACTTATAGTTTTGATCTCAGCAACAACAGATGGGAGAGAGAGTTTTTCTCATGGCATGCAGTTGATGGTTCCCCTTAAGAAATTTTCCAGTAAATCGTGTGATGTTGAAATGTATAGTAAAAAATACTTTATAGTAATTTTCACAAAAACAAAAATATACAACATGGGAAGGAATTGGGAAATAGAAGAGGTATTGTCTATCTTTTGCTTTAATTTATGTTTCCAACGAAATAGAAAATAAAAAGTTGACTAACTCTTTCTCTAATCTGTTTATAATATTATTATTCATGAGTTTTAACTCAAGTGATATGGAATGGATGGATCGAAAATAAAGATCTTAAGTCTCATTCTAAATGAAATGACACAAATGTATATTGATTCTTATGTACCAAGATTCATTAGTTTATAGTCACTATACAAAAATGACTATAAACTAATGTTTATTAAAATAAGTTCTCATTAGTTTCTTGATGTAAATTTGTTGCTTTTTGGTTTATAGTCACTATAGAGTTTCCTATTGTGATTGATAGGAAACCAATTTCACCTTCTTCTTTTTTTTCCAAAACTAATTTCACCTAATTTACTTGAAATCAATGACTAATAAATGGAGTTCAATGACAAAGAAAATTTTGTGATCTTAAGGGGACTCGAACCTTATCTCCCAAGGGATGAAACCTCAATCACAAATCACTGCACCAACCTTGCTTTTTTAATATTTAATATGTAACACAATATTTATATTCACAATCGAAGGTTTTTAAAAACAAAACAAAACAAAAATCAATTCAACATCAATTCGTGCACGATTTGTTTACAAATCCATCGTACTCTAGAGTTATATATAAATTGCAATAAACTACCACTCTAAAACAAAACAATGCAAATATCAATTGAGCAAAACGAAAACAAAAATCATTTACAACTATTTCTTTTGGGTTTTGTGCCCTTCAACATAGACACTAAACAATCATCTAAGATACACACAACATTGTCGTTTATAATCTTGCCAATCTATCTAGCATGCACATTATACACACATTAAAGTTATTGTTTCTACATAGACACACTACACTAGTCATTCTTTCCTTCGTGAAATAAAAATGACACCGAAGAATGTCAGTTGCCACACAAAAAATACACTCAAAAGCCAACACAAATGAAAGTTAAGCTACCAAGGGCAATGTAAAGAGCACATAAAACAAAAAGAAAACAGAAAGTACAATGCAGAACCAACAAATTTACAGAGACTTATCAATTTTTGAGAGAATTGTATGAATTAAAAAACAGAAACTACAATACAATTATTATTCCATAACAAAACATAACATAACACTAAGACGCTAAAGAACGACGACAAAACAATGACCAATCCACAATCTAACTAAAATATAAGTAAATAAATAAATAAACTATCAAATTAACTTAAAAAATCATACCAATATCCAATTAACATAGCCAAATGTAATTAAATTGAAACGAAAACTGCAATGCATTTTGTGGAAACTGCAACGCAATTTGTGCAAATCTGCAATGTAGCTCCAAAGATATAGTCAAGAGTTATGATCAAGAGTTGCAGTTGATATAAGTAAAAGAAGAGGCATGAATATGCAGGTGGAAATCAAAATGTAAAAAGAATCGAGAAGCATCTATCATTGTTGTATTTGTCCAAATTAAGCAAACATCTTATAATGAAATGAAGATAGGAACTCATAACAAGCCCTCATTAGAGTAACAATGTCCAAAAACACAAGATGAACACCACACCACACTCAACACACATAATTGCTCATTAGTGTTGTAAATATAAAAAAGATTAGATATCACTTAGTACAATCAAATAGTTCTTTATTCCTCGTCGCCCAAATCATTGAACGCATCGCTCAAATCATTGAGCATTTCATCCCACGTCTCCTCCACATGCAGATGAAATGAGTATCCATCAACAGGAAGAACAAAATTGTCCATACAACAAAGAAATTCAGAACCCTCGCACATAAATTTACTAATACGAGACACAAGCTTTGATAATTCATCATTGTTCTCATTGAAACCAAAACAATCTCTAGCATCCAACATCACCAGATCTTTGCATCCGCATAGCAACATGACAAGACCATCCCGATTAACTTTTGTACCCTTCAAATTTAAGTACTTGATATTAGGCACCAACTTCACAATTGACAATGCCTTACGTCCATGAGCAGAGCCTTTGGACAAATCTAAACCATAAAAATTCTTGCAACATGTTTATATAATTGCAAGTATTTTCGCCAAATTTAAGCATGAACCCAATGCTAACACCTCCAAAGTTTTCCACTTGCCAATCAGCTCTAGGTTCATGTGTTTGCTGTTCAATAAATCTCCTGGTAAACTCAAAATCACAAGGCCAGGACACCTGCACACATTCCACAACAACAAAAATGCTACATTTACATTTACAAGGAAAATTAAACTGGGTATACTTGAGGGTTTTGAAAATTAACATGTTTTGTTAATCAAGCGAAAATGAGAAAACTTACACATTTGCAGCAAATTCAAAGGCTTCTACTGTGCAGCATTTGGGAAGCTTGAGCAGAGACATTAGCGTTTCCGCTGCTCCGATTGATCACAAACTTTAAAAAAGCGGTGACAGAGCAACGATTCCCATCAATTTGATACTCACTCGCAAATCTGTCCATAAGATTTTGAAAATCCAGACATTCAGACACCCAAGGCCAGACTTCAATACATTCGTTGTCTGGGAAAATGAGAGATTGCCAGCATGAAGGATTGAGGGTCGCCTTGTACCATGACTCGCACACAAAATGAACATCCAAAAGCAGACTCCATTCCAACTTTCTCCGACACTTTGACCAAGCAGTCCATTTCTAAGTCCTCCCATCTTCATTCGTCCATCTGCAACAACGATTTAATATAACTACATATGCATACAATAAATTAATTAAACACCAAATTAAAAGAAGAAGAAAAAAACCATAAATTTCAAAAGAATACAAAGAAACCTGGGAAAACAATAATATGGCAATCCTTTTCCTATATAATAAGAACAAAAGGAATTAATTGATGAAGTGTTGGATAATTGTTCATTCAACAAGCACTTTCCACATTCCAACAACAAAAAGTAAGAAACCAGTTACTAGTCCAGCAATACAATAATAGAGGCAAAGCAATTCTAGTATTTCCTTTTGGAAAAGCAAGCAAGGCCCTTCGTTTCTAAAAATCCGCCTAGGCGGGAGCTAGGCGGCTGGGCTAGCCACCTAGGCGGGTTGGGTATTTTTTCGGTGCCGAAACCGAAGAAAACAAATCGAAGCTTGAGTTGATAGAGAAGCAAAATGGTCGTCCTCTGCGAGTGCAAGTTCCATCCACTGCTGGTGCAAGCTACGTGTTCATTTTGAATATATTTAAAGCTATAGCCGCCCGGCTATACCTTTAAAATATTCGAATATAATAATATTTAAAGAGTATAGCCGGTTAAAATATTCGAATGTATTTATAAGTATAGCCGCGCGGCTATACCAGATCATATCATTTTAGGGTTTAGGGCTAAAGTTATTTATTGAATTATTTTATTTATACAAGCGATATTGGAGAATGAGAATTTAAATTCTTTCTAATACCTCTTATTCTAATGATTTCCAACTATTAGCTCATTGAACAAGAATAATATAGATTAAACCCATAAATACAACTACAAAAAATATAGAGTTTACAAGATAATACTAGACGCCAACGACAATTGGAAGTCCATAATCATATATCTACCAAGAATACAATCAAATATACCATGAAATACAATAATTGACATCTGGGATAGCCGATTGTAATCTAAACCAATCATCTTCTTCAATTCTTCCACAAACTTAAAGTTTATTTCATATATAATATGGATTCTGGAGCAATAAAAACCTTACCACAATGATTTGAGTGACAAAATAATAATCTCATAAAATAATGGTTATTGAACAGATAATTCTATTATAATTAGTTTATAAGGTTGCTTCAGTATAAGGGAAAGGAAAGCATAACAATCTGATGGAAAATAGAACACTAGGAGCAAAGATGAACTGGTGCATAAGAATCTTGATTTAAACTAATGAATCTTGGTACATTTACATTTATTCATTAGTTTTCTATTGTAATCTAGTATTGAAACTGATTCTAAAGTTAATATTGGAGAAAATTAAAAAGACAGCAAACAGCGCGTAATTGATTAGGTCCATATACTTAGATTTTCTTAAACCTAAACAACAATCCATTGTCGTCCAGCGGTTAGGATATCTGGCTTTCACCCAGGAGACCCGGGTTCGATTCCCGGCAATGGAACTTTTTATTTTATTATTTTTTTACACAAAATCCTAATAAATAGTTTTCAAAGCAACTCATAATCAACATTCCGTTGTCGTCCAGCGGTTAGGATATCTGGCTTTCACCCAGGAGACCCGGGTTCGATTCCCGGCAACGGAACTTTTTTTTTTTTTTCCCCTCCACAAGAAGCTAAGAAAGTGGGGCATGGCAAGCTCCCATAGGTTGAAGTGAAAAAAAAGAAGAAAGCGCGTCGCAGTGGATAATCTCTGTTCTCCTTCCCAAAATCCCAATTCCGCCGATTTGGGATCACTTCCCTCTCTGCCTCAGTCTCAGAGCAGCTTCTGAGCACTTTCCCCTTTTCCTTTTGAACAATCAGTGAGTCCTCTCTCTCTCTCAAGTATCGCAGAGTTTTGCTGCTTAGATCGATCAGTTCATATCAATCTCGCCTAAATTTCATTGTAAGTAAAGGACTACTTTGGGTTCTTATAAATTCTTGGTTTGTACCAAAGTTGCTGTCATAAAAATGATTTCTTGTTTTCCTTGGATGATTAATTTTAACAAATTTTCTGTGTTTGGGTAGGTTATAATCCCATTTAGCTCCCTCATGTCGCTTCCAAATGAAGATGATATGTCTTCTTCCTCTGATACTCAGGTATTTATTCATTTACATTCAAGGGAACACCCTTTGTTCCTTTTTTTATTTTGGCTTTGTGGTTTCTGACCCAGAAGAAGGTGGTGGATTTTGAAGTTCTGTTTTGGGTCTGTATGAGAATGGCTTGGTGATTTTTGTGGGTTTTCATTTGTTATGTCTTGAAGTGCATTGATATGCATCTTATCAACATATAGACGGTTTAACAACCTTATTTAAGAACTGATTATGTTTAGTTATAGTTGATGCACCAGTTCAAGTCATTAATCAAATGTATATGTTCTTGACATCACTAGCTATAGTGTTTGATAGCCAAGTAGTTTGTACTAGAAAATTGTTCATTGTAGATTGTGGACGTGATCCTGGGGCATCATATGCTTGTTTTGGTGATCACTGCTTTTGGGTAAAGAGCAAATGCCCGTGTTCCAAGGGTTGTGTTCTGTAGTTACCAAAGCAGAACAATGGAAGAAAATATGAATTTGCTTATCTTAATGGAGCAAATGGTGGATTTAACATTTCTAATATATGTTTTACATAAGGGATGTTCAAAGGTCAATCCCTTTGGCATTATCATAAGTTGCTACTTCAATGCACTATAAGGCTTTTCCGTTCATCGTGGAATGGTTCTTGTGTATGTGAAGGCTAGAATATGGATAATTCAGTGTTGTTCTTGGTCTTGTGTAATGTAATTCAGAACATAAAATTTTGAATATTTCATATGTGCATGTAAAAATCAGCTGACAATATAGTTCTCATAGTTCCTTTCTCTTCTGGCTTGTGGTTGCAGATTACGTCACATATTTTTGGGGATCTCCTTGATTCCATTATTGTTGATGTTGCATCTGAATGTCATCGAATAGCGAAGTTGGGTCTTGATCGTAATTTTGAAGAAGAGGAAGAAGAACTAAGGCTGTCAGCCCAAGCACGGGTAAGGGTAGCTGATCCTAGTAATAGTGGTGAAGCAAATAGCAAGTATGTGGTTGACATATTTGGACAGAACCATCCTTCTGTAGCCAATGAAGTATTTGAGTGCATGAATTGTGGTCGAGCTATCATGGCTGGGAGGTTCGCTCCTCATCTGGAGAAGTGTATGGGAAAGGTGATTCTCTGATATCTTCATATGTTAGACAATTGTTCATATTTTATGGTTATGAAGACAAAAATAGAAAGTTCCTTGAATGAGAACTCTAGGGTGGAAACTAAAAAATGTTTTGGTTCTTTCCTCCACCACAGGGTAGAAAGGCTCGTGCCAAAGTGACAAGAAGTAGTACAGCTGCACAGACCCGGCAGTCACGAGGCAACCCTGCTTCCACATACTCCACTTATTCCAATTCCAACAGCACAAGCCGGTTATCAAATGGAACATCCGGTGTTGCAGGGGAGGAGTATTCAAATGGTGCATTGGAAGAGCCATAAAACATTTTAAGCACTGGTGAGCTACTTGGAAGCAATGGATATCGTTAATTGCTTAGATTGTCATGTTTGTGTAAAGTGAAGGCAAATTTTGAGTAGGCTTTTGTTGGTTTAGGCACTGCGATATAATCTGACTTGGAGAGTATAGTGATCACATTCTTTTTTTCAGTATGAAGAAGAGCGCCTTGTATATAACATTCTTGACCATGTCTCGAATGATAATTTGCTTCAAATTCTAACTATTTCCTGAGCTATCAATACAAACGCGATAAAGGTCTTGAATTGAAGGGATTAAGGAACCACCTCTTCCAAAAAATTGGAAAAATAAATTGGTCGAGAATGCATGTTGAAATACAACATAAACCACTGAGTCTCCAACCACAGCTTTTGACGAGGACCAACCGTTGGTATAAATGTTTGATGTCAACTAGAACTTCTTTGACTAATTGCCCTTCGGTTTAGTTTAAGTAGTAAGGGAGTGTGAGAAAATGGGTGATGATTGGGATAAATTAAAATGTTCGATCGTTTCCATGACTAATTTTGTGTAGGGATTACTATACTTTGAATAATAACATGTTCCTATTGGGAACGTATACAAGTGAGGCAAGCAAACAATGAAATATTATTAACATTTTATGTGGTATGGTATGATATTGCACAATGAATCATAGCTCGGATCGGAACTGATAAAAAATAGAGTTCCGTTGCCGGGACTTGAACCCGGGTCTTTCGGGTGAGAGCCGAATATCCTAACCAACTAGACTACAACGGATTCGATGATAATATATGTGATTGAAATTATATTAACCATGTAAGGATTCCCTCACATTCTTGGGTTTCCCTGCCAAAAGTAATTTGACGCCTCTCTCCCCCCATTCATTTTGTTGGGGTCCAAGGACTCAACACAGGATTTCCTAGCAGCACACACTCCTCAGTGTCCAATCATTATAAATTTACTATCCATAAGAAAAGGTTGAGAAAACCCATGAGGGACTTGGTGGTCTCGTGGAGGTTGTAAGACATCTGGACGTGCTTGTGCAGCTCTCCGAGAATGATGTGGGGAACCTTCAAGTCGTCGCGCAGACATTTCTGGTGGAGAACGATGTCGTCTAGTGGGGTGTCGCGGGTGGGGGTTCTGGATTTTGGGTGGGGAGGACGTAAGCGACATTGTTGTCATCGAGGAAGAAGTCGAGCTTGCTTCTCCAGGTTTGGAAGTTTGGGGTGCAGTCGAGTTGGTGGGTGGTTTCGAGTTCTGGGAATACGAGTGCGGAGAATGACAATGAGTCGCTGTTCATTGTTGGAGGACTTGTTGAAGTATCGCCGGACGGCTATACTAAAAAAGAATATTTTAATTAGCCGCACGGCTGTACTCCATAAATTTCAAATACTATAAATATAATATTTACGAGTATCGCCGATAGGCTATACTACAAAATAAAATATTTAAATAGTATAGCCGACCGGCGTTACTCTACAAATAGAATATTTTAACCATATAGCCGCGCGGCTTTACTCTACAAATAGAATATTTTAACCGTATAGCCGCACGGATATACCCCAAAAATATAATTTTTTTTACGTATAGCCGAACGGCTATACCTTTAAGTAGCGTAATAAGTCATGTTTTTAATTACTTTAATTTAGTAGTTATGTTTTAGTTATTATTTACTTTGTGAATAATTAGTATTTAAATATATTATTAAAGAAAAAAAATAAAAAAAAATTTAATTACTATTTATTAAGTAATATAATTCATGAAGTTAATTAAAATATTTAATACTAATTATTCACTAAAGAAATAATAATTAAAATATACTTACTAATTTAACTAATTAAATAACACAAATATATTATTTAATTACTAAAAATAAAATTTAAAAAATTAATTAACCTAAACATATTATATTCATTTTTTTTTTTTTTTTAAACCTGTCCCGACAGAAGTTTGTCGGTATATGTCTGTCCCATCCATAGTATGAAATATCGATAATATCGATGAAATATCGAAGATATTTCGATTTTTTTGAATCACGGATATTTCGAAACATATCCATGTACATATTGTATAAATATCGACAATATCGACGATAATATCGAAAAATATCGATGTCAATAATTTCGCTCACACTTCAGTAATATTTTGTCAAAATATCGGTATAATATCGCTAAAATATCGAAAATATCGATGTAAAGGAAAAAAAAAGAAAAAAAAAGGGAAAAAAGGGAGGGAAAAAAAAACAAAAAGGGGATTTGAACCCCTCCCATTTTACTCCTCCAACACCTTAACCACCATATATCACTTATGTTTTAGTGATAATAAAATATTTATATTTATATGGGTGGCATGTTAACAATTACATGCAAAACTATTTTGGGGATTTATCATTTGATGAATACTCTTTACAATGCACTTACTCTACACATAAAGATGATGAAGATAGTGAAAAATTTGAATCTCGTAGGAACTCTATGTGGTACTAACTCACTCATGTATCTTACCATGCAATGCATAAAGTGTAAAATATTATAGTAAATCATTATATATAAATGATTATGTTATGTTTAATCTTTTTTTCATTAATTACTACATATTTTCTACATTTGCAGTATTTGCTAGCTCGCTGTATAATCAACTTAAATCAGTTAAATCTATCATGTAATGCATTTTCTTCTAATTTTTTTGATAAACTAATAGGTAATTGACTAAATAAACATTATCCAAAGTTTCAATAAAAATTTCCAAGTTTTTCTTACAATTTTCGTAGTTTTTATTCAATTTTTATCGATATCGATAATATCCCGATATTTCCATCGAAATTTCCATGTTTTTAGACTACTGATATTTTCGATATCATCGATATTTTAGACAGTCCCAGCGAAAAGTATAGCCGCGCGGCTATACTCTGGTAGGTAAAAGTATAGCCGCGCGGCTATATCCTTTCAGTCTATAGGATTTCTAGGTTTACCCGCAATGCAAGTTTCTTACTTGCTTGCTATCGAAGTTTTTAGCCATTTATTTCTTGTAGGTTTCCTTCCTATAATTTAGCTGTGTTATGACTTATATATGTTGCTTGGTCTCAACACCAAGAGCCGTCGTATTGTTTCACAACTGTACCAATATATATATATATATATATATTTGTACTCATAACTTTCAATGAAATTCAACATCCCAACAATTCTATAAAACATAAATATTTGTGAGAAATTCAACATCCTATGAAAAATAATTGTGTCATATATGGAACACAATTTTACATCTAACATAAGAAATCAGTTAAACTAACTGTGGAAGTAGAGACACACCAAAAAGTGTTTTTTAATCTAATAGATGTGACACACTAAGACACAAAATCCATATTTATACTCAATAATTTAAAATAATTTATATGATGATGAGATGAAAAGGCATGCATGCATCCATCCATCTTGTCTAGGTGTATCGTGCCAGGTTGATGGTGGTTCAACTGACCAAAGATATGTTAGTACAAATATTTATAGGAACTCTGGAGATTGGAAGAAGTATCACCGATGTAATGAACTCACTAGAAGAAAAGAAAAAGATACAATGGCTAGGACCCCTATCCTAGCCAACTGGTTGATTAAGACTCGCTGAAATCGCTACATGATCCAAAATCAACTGGACACACAATTATTACCATACACGACATGTTGAGTGCCCATCTTTTAGTTCCGTCTTCGGCCAGATTTTGTTTGTCTTCTAGAGTTGGCAGGAGAAGATTGCTTTGAAGAAGGTACAGGCAAGAGTGTTCCCCCTTTGATGCCATCTGAATCCGTCATGTCGTCAAGTGTTTTTTGGGCTTCAATGTAAACTGTAAGATCTCTAATCTGTCACCACCATCATTTAGACTTGTTAAGATGAGAAACCAGCAACTTCTAAATAGTGGCTAACAAGCAGAAACTCGTAATGTCAATACCTGTTCTTCCAGATCAACCATCTTCTCCTCTCTTAACCTCAGTGATGTAGCTTCCCTAAAAGGAGTTTAAATCATGGAGGATATATAAACCAAAGAATCCAGTGCCGCTATTAATAATCAGACTTGCCTCTATGCCATATCCTATAGATCTAGCACAGGCACATGGGTCCTGAAATGATCACTATCTGTTGTGTGGGAGAGAAGGGGACAGGATGGGAAGAAAGAAAAGAACAGAAGTTTTGGCAAATACTAAATGGCTCTCCATATTTCACTTCCAGATTTTCAACAACCCCATATTACCCTCATGGTCCTATCTGAAGCGTTAGTATCTAAACAAGGGGAGACTTGACATCTATCAATGAAAGAGAGAAAACAATATGTACCTCACTTCAATTTCCTTCAACTTCCCACGCCGGGTTTCTTGGTCCTTGATGAGATTACGGTTGATCTAAGAAACAAACACAAAAAATAGGCACAATCAAATAAAATGAACTTTCAGAAATAAAAAATAATAATTGATTTCACATAAACAAAGTACTCCAATGCCAAACCCCAAAAATAAAGACGAGCACATTACAAACTCACATCTTCAACAGCATTTCTTTCCTCAAGACATTTCTCTAGTTTCGCTTGAATATCCTGGATCTTGGAATTTACAGCCTTCTCCACTGCTTCTAAAATTGAACTTTCCTTTTTACTTTTGGCCTCCATAAGTAGAGATTCATAATACTGAATTTCAAGAAAAAGAAAAGGATATTACTTGATCAACAACCAATTAGGTAGAGGGAAAATAAGAACACAAAGAAGAAGTGGGTTTGGTGACAACCTACTTGTCTTTGAGTCTCAAGCTGACTTGCAAGAAGTCGGTTATACTCGTCTACAATCTGTTGTAGCACAACATCTAAAGATCAGTTAAGAAAATGCCAAATAATGGATAGTGCAAGGTAGAGTAAAAGTTAAAAAAAAAATTCTTAAAATAAATACATACAGTTTCAACTTTGCTGCTATAGAGGGCTCCACTAATTCCAGAATCGTCACTGCATTCACACCTGTCACAATCCCCTTCCACTGACATACATTGAGAATCCGTATCAGTTATTAGCTTGCCATCAATTTTCGATTGGTTCAGGCGGTGAACATAAGCATCACCAACGTAATCCCAGATCTGCTGCCTGTTCAACTCAAGAGAATAGCAATGTTGTGTATCCTTCCAGTGCCTAACAGCATGACCT